AAAAAAAAAAAAAAGAAGCAAATACTTTTCTTTCAATGTTATATGTGCTAAGCCACATTTCTTACATCTGTTAAGATGTTGCTTTTAATAATGGCTCTAATATTCTTCTGAAACAAACACATCTATCTGTAATGCACCTCACATAATGTACTATAAGAAAGCTGATGCTTCCAACTACAACAATGTAATCACAGCAGTGAACATTAACACATACAGAAAACAATCAAGAATATATAATGGACTGTGACAGAGAAGATAAAATTATGAAGTGCTTCATATTATGTGAATAACACTGAGCAAAACCTTCAAAGTATTTTTTGAAAAGATAAAAAACAAGTATGTCTACCTCTTACCTTTGTGTACAGGAGTCATGGGATTTAAGGCTGGAGAAGTAGGTACACGAGATAAACTGCCTTGAGGTGAAGCAGTAGAATCAATGCTTATTGTGCTCTGAATTAGAGGTACACAAACCTATTGGGGTAATATAAAAGAAAAAAAGATATCTGTAAACTGCATTAAGTTTCATGTTTTTTAAAATCTTGCATAATAATTGAATTTCTTTGAAAAGCAATTGAAATTCTTTTAATATGTTGAATTGTACTGGCTGTTTCAATGCACAGGCTAAAAATTGAAATTTGGAAAGGTGAAAATTTTTATTATAACTGTATTTGCCCTAAATGTGTACTATCTATAAATTTTAGTTCTAAATTCCACACGGAAAATTATACACAATTTATACAAAAATTATAAATAACTTTAGCAAATAACATCTACCTGTTTTGATGCTATTGTTAGACATATTTTAAGCTTTTAAAAAACACACGCTAAAAAATATGAACTAAGACAACTTCAAGCTAATTTCTAAGATCATTCCAATACCAGGCAAATCTAGCCAATGAATAAATTTTGCCCATGAATGTGTAGGACAACTGGGTAAGATTAGCCTAATAGGACTTTATGATGGTAGAATTTGGAAAAATTATATTCCCAATTACGGATTACTATCATCAATGTCCAATTTCAATTTGTTCATATTCTATCAAATTTAAAAGCCTTAAAATATTTTTAAAAAATTTTAAAGCTTGCTGAAATCATTCAAGTATATTTAAAGTCTCCCTTTCTAATTCCAAAAATACACTCATTGCTTACAGTTGTTTATATAGAGCGGAAGGACTACAGATCCAACAGTAAAATGTAATCCAAAATCCGAAATAAGCAATAAAGAAATGAAAAACATAAAGTTAATCAGCTGTCCTTTTTTCCGTAACTATTAAAAAAAACCCCCTCAGAAACCAAGAATGGGATTAATTATAAAAACAAGGAGGTACGGATAAAATTAAGCCTTATGTCTTAAATGCCAGCATGGATATCAAAATCCAATGGAATTTTTAACAATACTGAGAAGCTATGATGGGATTTAAATGATTGGCTCTTGCTATGTAACTACGTAGCCTAGAAAAAGGAGATACAAAAAATAGCAATCCAATTTTGTATCTATCCAGTGTAGCACCTAATTTCTATTTCAGTAATGCTGAATCTACTCTGATATTCTAAGCCCTATGAAATTCCTTTTTAGAAACTTTTCATGTCTCTAACATAATAGATACTGAGTGCTGACTGAAATGGCTTTAGAGGCTCTCTAGTTGTTTCAGACAACTGGAGAATATTCTTTTAAGGAAAAAAACTCAAGTTCTGTGTCAGAGGAGAAATAGACCTTTTATATATGTGGCCTGCCAACACAACAAAAATATTAGATTTAAGAACACATTAAAAAAAAAAAGGTATCATAATCAACACTTGCAACGTTACCTGTTCAAAATTAGCAGGAAGATGAGGTCCAAGTCTCATCAGTAAATACCACCAGACTTCTAGTTTTGTTAGCGCTAGAGCTTCTGTTCTCACGTGGATGGAACTCAAAGGCTGCATTAACAATTTTAGTCTTTTCGCACTGCATAGTATTTCTTAAAAGAAAATGAGATAAACACCCAGGTAAAAACATTTAAGACCTAAAGATTAAATTTTAAGAATGAGTATTCAATAATCTCCCTTGCCACAGGCAAGAGAATTTAAAAAATTTTTCTTATATCACCAGCTGTTCTTGTCTCACCCAAAATTTTTACCTGACAAACTCCAGTACAGTTAGACCACAACACTTTAGAAGGCAAAGACAACAAAAGAAATAAGTAAATTATTAAATGCCGTGTGCCAGGGGTGATTTTCCCATCAAGGGACATTTGGCAACGTCTGTAACATTTTTGGTTGTTACAGTTGAGAGGCAAAGGTACGGAGAATGCTACTGGCATCTAGTGGGTTCCATCCAGGGATGGTGCTAAACAGCCTCCAGCACACAGAACAGTCCTGCATAACAGTTTCTAGCCTAAGATGCCAAAACGTTGAGAAACTCTGTCCAAGCTACTCTAATACTCTTATCCTCATTTTATAGATAAAAAATAAAGAGAAATATTTTTTTACTTTCTGACAAGAAGATTATTTTAAAATTTTACTAGTAATTTATTTTATTAAGCATTTTAACTATTGTTGTCATTAATTAGATTTTGGAAACCTAAATACCTAGATTCAGGTCTACTCTACATTAATAATCATATTACTAAAATCCAGCATAAAAATTAAATCTATTTTGTTTAAACAAAATAGTTATATCAGAAGTGTGTACTACATATGTGACTGGGGATATATAAAAAAGAGTCTGTACTCAAGGAACTTATCAAAAAGACTGAAAGGGTTGTGAAACATCTGTAAAGCCATGTACTTGGTGAGATGTTATTCATAAATGTTTCTCACAATTATTCTGCGACTTAGCTTTCAATTAACCTTTCCGTAAGAAAATAGTCAGATCACTGTTGGGACATATCCTCTAATCCTTTTTAATTCCTACTTCTGAGAGGAGCTCCACAATAAAATCCCTACAGCAGAGATTGCCAATTGTTATACAATAATCCATTCTCTTTTAGTTATAAGACCTGCTTTCACTCAGGATAGTGATGGGTGCCCAGTTTTGACTATCTAGTCTCACTTTTAGCCATTCTACCCAGCAAAATTTAAGTGCCAGTGTATGCCGAATTCTGAAATGCCCATTATAGATAGCTGGCTCAGCTGGGAAGATGTTCACTTCTGCTCTTTTCCCTTCCCTCCTTCCTATAGTATGCAACTAAGGCATACTGAAGAGGGCAGAACAGAAAGACATGCATCTGATTCCTCAATGATTTCATGGATCCATAACACCAGTTATAGATTCTCGAGCTCTGGACTTCTCTTAGGCCATTCATATTTTATGCTTCAATATTCAATCACATATAATTCCAACAGAATTAGTTCCAAACATTACCTCTCACTGATAGTCCATAAGCAATCACAACAAAAAAAGGTGACATTTCCAATTAAAATTAGTGCCTGGCAATGCACATTTACCAATATTTTCAATAAAGTAACTATATGTAGTTAATGCAAATAATCATCTTACAAATCACATTAAAAAAAAGGAAGAGATTACTAATGATCTTTGGCATGGGAAAAAAATAAAGGATGAAATCACAGTTACTTAGCAAATCTGGTAAATATACAGTATCAACTGTACCTAAGATTAATTACCCAGTTAAGTATCTACTAATACTGACCCACTCAGGGGTAAGTACACTTTCTTGTATATATATCCAACACCACCAGTGGATAATCAGAAAATAAGGTTAAAGTAAATCAAAAAGAATCACTTCTACATACTAATGCTAACCTACTATAAGGTATAGTTCTAAAGGTACTGGAAGAAAAAAGTTCATCAGTCACTGATATTTTTATTCCACAGCAATCACAATTGTTTCCTATCATCTACTGGCTATGTGACCTTTGATAATTAATCTCTCCAAAATAGTAATAACACTATCTCAGGTCTACTGTGATGATTAAATGAAAGATATGTAAAATAATCAAGTGTTGGCATATACTAAGCAAGCCACAAATGGTATTTGTCCCTTTGTTTTTAAAATTGCTGACCAATTTTATATCTGTGATTTTCCATAATGTCTAGTCTTTAAATTATATTTTTAGCTATAAAAGTACTCCTTTAAAATAAAGATATTCAACAACAGGTTGTTTCAATATAAAGTCCAAAAAAATCTGAAAAGTTTTTTCTTCATCAGCTTAATTCATAAAAAATTGAAATTCTAAAATATTACTTACCTGGATTTAAAGCAAAATTATCTATTAAACTCTTCCAAGCAATAAAAGCTATTTTTTTAATTATGGGTGCTCCGCTACGAAATCCCAGTTCTTCCAGCTGTAATAAAGAATTAATGAAACTCCCACTTCGATGCAAGGTCTAAAAAAAGAAAAATTATTAAAAAGTTATGTACCCGTCTGAAACAACATATATAGCACTATTATCATTCACTGGTATAATTCATTGTTTTAGCTACATAAAGTCTTAGGAATTTAAATTTTAAATAGTACTGAGTTCTATATGCACATTAAACATTCAAGATCACAAAATACGAAGCTCCATAAGCAGGTAAGACAGAACACTTCTAAAACAATCCTAAATGGCTACAAACCACACAGAATCTGACGGAATATAAAAAACAACAAAAACCCTGGTTTAGAAAATCATAATGAATACATAAGAAAACTACTAGAACTAATAAAATTAACAACGTTGCAGAGTACAAGATCAACATGCATCAGTTATGTTTCTACACATCAGCAACAAATTCCATTTACAATAACACCTAAAAGAATTACTTGGGAAAAAAAATCTAAGGTGAAACTTACACACTAAAAGCTATAAAGCACAGCTGAAATTTAAAGAGCCCTAAATAAGTGGAAAACCATCCTATGTTCATGGGTAAAAATAACATCATTAAAATGTCAATACTACCCAAAGCACGCTACAGATTCAACACAATCTATCAAAATTCCAACAGTCTTTTTTACAGAAAATCAATCCTCAAATTCAATATGAAATTGCAAAGAGTCCCAAATAGCCAAAACATTTCTGGAAAAAAAAAGTTGCAGGACTCACACTTCCTTGACTTCCATACTACAAAACTATTGATATTAAAATATATCATAGTGGCATAAAGAAAAACATAGCATAGAAGCCCCAAAAATAAATTGTTGCATGTACTATCAAGTGATGTTTTACAAAGGTGCCAAGACCATTTGATAAGGAAAAAGTCTAACAAATGGTGTTGGGAAAGTTGAATGCCCACATGCAAAAATAATGAAGCAAGGCCCTTCCTTGCCTTACATACAAAAGTAAACTTAAAATGGATGAAAGATCAAAATTTACAAATTAGAACTATAAAACTAGATGAAAACAGGAGAAAGTACTCAAGACATTGGATTTGGCAATAGCTTCACGGAACTGACACCAAAAGCACAGGCAACAAAAAGTAGTTATCCATTATCTATTTTCGCTGTTTCATAAAAATTAACTTTTATGCATTAAAGGACAGTATGAAGAAAGCAAACTCAACCTACACAATAGGAACAAATATTTGCAAATCATGTCTAAGTGATCAATATCTAGAATAAAGAACATCTACAACTCAACAAAACCCAAAAACAATTTAAAAATGATAAAGGCTTTCCTGTCATGGGTTGTGTATAGTAAAGTCTTAGGTCTCTGAATTTCAAAAATTTAGGGCTTCTTTACCCCTCGACAGCTGGGTGGCTATCACCATACCACTAAACCAACACAATTGCTATGGATTATGACTGGGATCATCATGAGAAAAGGAAAGTTGAGAGGCTCATAAATATTAAAAGAAGACAGACATGACTGGTTTCAAGGGTAAGCTCTACCAAAGACAGCAGCACGCTGAGAAAATAAAAATATCAAAATGAATGAAAAGAGAAACACCAAACAAAAGAATGCTGAAGCCTCCACAGAAAACAGTACTTGCGCTTCTGCTGGATACAGAGGGCACAATCCCAAGCAAAAGTATTTTCAAATAAAATAAAAAAGAGGAAAGATCCTCTGCCCAAGGTTCACAGCCAGGGAGAAACAAAAATTAAAAGTTATTTAAACAGTAAAGAGAAAAAAGAATGCATAAGAGAAGTTGGTTACTAAATTTTGCTGTTGGAAATGGCTTTATGTGAAAACTATCAAACTATGAAAGATTCCTTAGGCCAATCAATGGACTTATGTTTCAAGTAATCTTTTTCCTGGCAATATATGGTGTAAACAAAAATCCCTCATCCCTGCTACATGCAACTTTGAGTATTACTACCAAAGGTACTGTCACTAAGGTGAACGTTGAGTAAGCTGGGTCTCATTACAGGAAGCTACAAGGTTATCTGGGGGAAAAATGCCCAAGTTACTAACGATCCTGAAAATGTCGGATGCATATCACACGATTAACTCCTTACAATTATTGAAGACTATAAACCAATCAGGAAAACCACCATTACTGTGTTTCTGAGTACTACCCAATAGTCTTACATTTCCACAATCATCAAGAGAACTATTTATCATATTGTAAAACAACACTAAAAAGGCCCAATTTAAAAAAAAAATTTTTTTCTGGAATGGCTATTACCAAAAAACGGGAAACTAATAAGTTTTGACAAGGATGTGGATAAATTTGAATCCTCGTGCATTACTGACAAGACTGTAAATGGTGCAGTTGCTGTGGAGTTTGGAGGTTTCTCAATAAACCAAACATGGAACTCTATATGAACCAACAATTCCATTCTTATGTATATATGCAAAAGAACTGAAAAAAGAATCCAACAGATATTTGTACAGCAATGTTCATAGCAGCATTATTCATAATAACCAAAAGGTGAAGATGAGCCAAATATCCATCAACAAATAATTGGATAAACAAAGTGAGGTATATACACACAAAATAATTATTCAATCACAAAGAGGAATGAAATTTTAATATCTGCTACAACACGGCTAGATCCTGAAAAATTATGCTTAGTGAAATAATTCACAGAAGGGCAAATAACGTAGAACTGCACTTATATGGGAGTACCTAGAATTAGCAAATCCATACAGACAGAAAGTAGACTAGAAGTTACCAGGGGCTGGAAGGAACGGAGTAGAGGGAGTTACTGCTTAACATGTATAGAATCTTTGTTGTATATAATGAAAAAGTTTTGGGTATAATGATGTTTACATTTGTAAATGTATTTAATGCCACTGAACTATACACTTAGGATGGCTGTACACAGTAAAGAGAAACACTCCCCCCACCACCCCACAATAAAACCTGGCTTAAACATAAAACATACAATCAATTCTCAATATTCACCATAGTTACACTCTAAAGACACCTCAAACACTGTATTAATGAATACTGAGCCACTACTCCTAGGAAAAACACAGGGTTAAGTTACTGCAAGCCTCTGGTCACATTTCTGTCAATCAATCGATACACAACTTTGTATTATGTTTATTTCTATTTAAAGATACCTTATAAAGCCAGGCACTGCTTAACAACAGGGATACGTTCTAAGAAATGTTATCAGGCAATTTTGTTGTGTGAACAAACCTAGATGGTGTAGCCTACTACACACCTAGATTATATGGTATAGTCTATTGTTCCCAGGCTACAAACCTGTATAGCATGTTACTGAACAAAACACGAAATTCAATCAAAAACAAAATGATGCAACTAAGATGTGGTAAGCCCATGATGTGTGAGGCTGCTGCCAGGGTAACAGGACAGTTTCACAGCAAACTTTTTTTATTAAGTAGAAGAGTAGACTCAAAAATAATAATAGTATAGTAAATACGTAAACCAGTAACATTAGTTTACTGTTATTATCAAGAATTATGGGCCGTACATAACTGTACATGATATACTTTTATATGATTAGCAGTGCAGGTCTATTTACAACTGCATCACCACACAGGATGACGTCCTTAAGCAATAAGAATTTTTCAGCTCCATTTTAATCTTATGGGACCACCATCATATATGTGGTCCATTGTTGACAAAAACTGTTATGTGGTGCATGACTATATCATTGATTCATCGACACAGCCAACAGCATTATAACTCGTGCCTGAAAAAATAAAGCTTGTCTAACACCCACGTTTTCTCTTTAAGGCACATCGGTCTTCCTGTACTTCAGAAACAGAGAGCATTTCGTTAAGGGGCCATTAAAATTGCAATCACCAAGAAAAAGCTCAAAATATGAAAAATATTGGCACTAAATGGATCATGAAAAGACAATTGTTTAAGGAACACTGAAACTAAAAACAAAAGGGCAGAGCATAACCTAGCCAATGTCAGCTGGGAACATATGCACTGTGGAACTTAATTTTTTTTGCCATGACTACTACATGACTACTAAACACACTGGTAATAACTTGAGGAAATTATACTGCACAAGTACTGATGTTAGGTTACATTTTAGTGAGCAGATGAATTTGCATATGTGGTATGACGAATAATGAGGTTCTACTATGTAAAGTTAAGAAATGAAGGGGGGTCTAGTAAGTAAAACTGGGATCTGTTAACTGTGGACTTACCTTCCCAAGAAGTTTGACAAACAAAGGCCATAATTTTAAAACATAAGTCTCATTTTTGTTCATAAATAGCTTTTGGAGTTCTGAAAGTAATTTCTGCAAACAAAAGGAAAAATATTTACCAAAAGGATTTGTGGATAGAAAAAGAATCTGCAGTATCAAATCGGCTGATTATCTCAGCCAGTAACTTTACTCAATGCTCTATTAGGAAAACTTTCATGCATATAACAAAGCTAAGAATTTAATAATGTCCAAATATAAATACTATTAAATAACATTTTACTACGCTTGTTTATCACACATCTGGCCATTCTTCCATCCATCAATCTAGCTTAATTTTTCTATCAATACTTTCCCCTATAAACTTCAGAATGCATATCATTAATTGTAATTCAAATAATAATGTTTCAACTTCTCACTCTAGTAACTTTAAAAATACATCGATAGCTTCATAGATAATAGATATCTGGGAAATTTTAATTCAAATTTATAAGAAATTTTATATATGATCTTAAAAAAGTAATAAACTTATCAGAATTTAAAATCTCATGAAGACAAGGGAGATACTTTATTAGACTCCAAACATTACCATCAAGTAGTTTTAAAAATGAACAAACAAAACCCCAGGTTTTAGAATATGAAAGACTCCTTCACTGCAGTATCTCATAACTAGTTTCCCTGCTCGTACACAATCCCCTCTAGTCTTTTCTCAACACAGTGAGAGAGAGATTCCTTTAAAACTTATGTCAGTACATGTATCATTCCTAGACTCAAAACCTTCAAGAATGGTCGTCAATATCATCCAGAGTGAAACGCAGGAAATGCCTTACAATGACCCCCAGGGTGCTATGTGATTTGGCCCTGTTTCTCTGAAATCATCTCCTACTCCTCACCCTCATTAACTCTATCACACTGTCCAGTATTTGCTGAACACAACCATCAGAGCAGGGCCTTTTACTCTCATGGTTCCCCCATAGAGCTAATTCCTGTATCACCTTTAAATCACTGTTCGAGTCTATTTGTTTTTCTTCCCTGACCACTACCTCACTCTTCCTAAGGACACACTTCATCCAGTCCCTGCTATTCTCCAGAGTGCTCCTCACTTACATACTATGTATTTCTTTTCTCTCACTAGAAAATAAGCTCCACGTATTCCTTTTGTTCTCTGGTATATTCACAGTACTTGAAACAATACCCAGCATATAATACGTGCTCAATAAATATCACAAATGTTACAAGAACAGCAGTTAAAAAACCTAAAGCCTGGTGCAAGTAATAACATTAGGAATTATACATACTAGGTGTTCTTATGTACATTAAATTTATATGTATTGGGATTATGTTACAACCATCCAAATAGCATTGAATTAATGTTCTCCCTTTTCCAATAATGCAATCCCTTTCAATCACCATTCACTAAGGATGAGGTAAAATGCCTGGATCATAGTAACACAAAATAAACAATTTTCCTCTTTACTATACTATAGGAACAGTATGCCTACACTAACTTAAGCAATTCTTTGTTCAAAGAGGAATTTCGTAGATCATAGTACAATTGTACAAATATGAGCCCTAAGCTTGGTGCAGAACCTTAAGTATCCACAAATCTTCACATAAAGTAATACTCACAGTAGTCATTAGCTGCTCCGTGATAGATGCTATTTCTTGTTGTTTCTGAAGCAACAATGGCATTCCCATCTCTAGAGCAGTTGCTCCCCGCAAATGTACCTTTTGGGCTGAATGAACCACTAACGGTATGACTAGTTTTGCCCATCTAATTGACTCTTCTCCCATTTGAATTGGGGCTTGTTCAATTAGCCTATAATAGAGAAATCAATGAATAAAATTAGCTTGACCTCACCTTTTTCATCTGAACTACCAGGAAAATAAACAGCACACAGGAATATGAATAGTATGGTCCATTTGTTTAAGAATATATACATATATGTATACGTGCAATAAAAAAGAATTTTTACTTGCTAATTTTTAGATTTCTACATTTTTATAAACTTTTAAAATAACATTTTGCCTTCATATTAAAGTTGTTAAAATAGTAATTTTACATAATGAAATTCAATGTTCTTATAGGAGAGGACAGGCAGAGAATTGTGACATGATGTGAACATCAATCAGGGTATCAGAACACCAAATAGTTAGAGCAAACAGCTCAGCTACTGAAGAAAAGTGTAAAACAGAGGTAAGAAAAATCATATCAAAAGTTTGTGCTATTAGCATCTCCATTACAAAGCAAGGATAGGTAGGAAAAAGGTAGGGGATGTTCTCATTCTCCCATCTGCTGCTAGGCACTGTTAATGACTACCTAAATATCCCTTTCAACTCACTTGGGTGTCTACATTATTTTTTACACGCTTGCAAAAGCCTTAACAGAAATAATCTTTAAAACTGAAACTGTTAGCAGAAGCAGCCTAACCAAGACTTTAAAACTATCTCAGTCTACAGCCATGCTACCCTGAACAAGCCTGATCCCATCTGATCTCGGAAGCTAAGCAGGGTTGGGCCTGGTTACTAGTTGGACGGAAAACCACCTAGGAAGACCAGGTGCTGTAGGCGAAAGAAATAAGGGATTGTAAGCTGATAAGGTCTTTGCAATCTGTGAGGTCAATCGACCAAGGGTTGCTTTGCCTTATATATTTAAAACAAACAAACAAAAAAACCCTCTCAGTAAAAATAAGCAAAGAAACCTACTAACTTATGCACATCTTTCTTCTTCCTGTTACCTTTTTCCTCAAGACTTTTACTCTAGGATATATTTTTTTCTTTTACTGTCTAACTCAAATTCAAGTCCCAAAAGTCTACTCCTTGAAGTAAGTTCTAAATTTACTGAAACTATTCTTCCAATTTGTACAACGTCCAAATTCATACCTTATGATGACATTTAATGCTTCATAATCAACAACAGCAGAATGCACCTCCCCTTTATTAAGTACTATTTCTAATAAATCAATTATACTGGGTACCTAAAAGACAAAACCAAATAAATACAAATCAAGTAAGATGAATTTTTTTAAATGGCATGTAGTTAAAAGACATATGTAAAAACTGTACTTACTACTTTGCCAACAACTTCAGTGGAAAATGTCTGTTTGGATATCACCCAAAGTGCCCTAGTACGAACATTTTTGTCTGAACTCTTAGCAACATCATTCAATTTTGAAAGTAGTTCTTTAATATTGGTCTCTGAAAAACAAGCAGCTTTAATTATGCAAGAGTTTACATCCTTTAAAATCTCAAAGAGAAAAATACTATATTCTTTGTCAAGAAATTAAATGCATATCTAGAGAGGACCAGAAACCCAATGCTGATATCAAACTTCTTACCAAAACGTGAAAATATCTAAGATGGAAAGGTATATTCAGAGAAAACAGATAACAGACTCCAAATCAGATATTTGGTACAGCTGAAATAATTTTATAGGTCTCATTAGCTTTGAACATACACAATTTTTGGCAAGATGTTATGAACTACACCTCTGCTCCAAAATGAACTACCTCAGAAAAAAAATCTGGTGACAACTTTCTGACATCTTTATTCTCTATTCTTGATTTCCCCTCTAAATATCACCTCCTAGGTTTCCTTTACAGAGCAACAATTAAGATTAGTTGAAAACTTAGAAAGTATCAGGTCCTGTGCTTTCATTACCACTTTTAGTTCCAAATTATCCCACTTACCACTATGTAAAAGAACTTTCCTATTCAGCATACTCCTTAGTGCACAGGCTTATATAAAGTAAATCAGCGGTCCCCAACCTTTTTGGCACCAGGGTCCAGTGCTCCTTTGAGAATCTAATGCCTGATGATCTGAGGTGGAGCTGAGGCAGTGATGCTAGCTAGCACTGGGGAGCGGCTGCAAAAACAGATGCTTTGCTTGCCCACTGCTCACCTCCTGCTATGCAGCTTGGTTCCTAACAGGCCACAGACTGGTACCCAGTCTGCGGCTCGGGGGTTGAGGATCCCTGAAGTAAATGACCATCTACATTATCTTCCAAAGCAGATGTGTTTTACAAAGGACAAAATTCAGTTCATAGCAATTATTTTTAAATACGTTCATAGAGAGAGCTATGTCGGAAAAAAAGAAATTTTCCAATGACAATCTAAACATTTCTTAAAACTAAATCCTAAACTGTAAATTACGTATCTAATAGAAATAACAGTACTTTTTACAATAGCAAAAATTTATACTTAGAAACTCTTAAAAACATTAAGTCATAGTAAGTTTAACTACCTGATAATCCTGAGGTAATTTTAGGATTATATAAGCAAAACCCCAAGGCCTGTAGAGCAGCACAACTGAGCTCTGAGTTGTGACTGGAAATATGAGTCTATCAAAAAAAAAGAAAAGAAAAAAAAAACATGTTACAGATGAGTACAACTGTGAATCAATTTTTAGAGCAAAATTTGTTTAAAGCCAATATTTCATTTTAATTCAATCAATCTTTAAAAGTAGATGAAACAGTAGTAAAATCAGGAAACCAATATACAGCTTGGCAAAGAAAGGAAAAAACTAGATAGTTTAACTAAATATAAAACATTTTTCTTAAAAGATAAAGAACATCACACATCTGAAAGCGAAGAAAAAGAAGCCAAGTGGAAGATGCTGAAGACACTAAACAGGAAATAAATAACAGGAGCAAAGACCTTCCACAAAGAGTAAGCAAAACACTCAAACACAAAAGCTGACATTCTAGCTTTAGAGTAGAATGACACCTCTATGATAGAGAGGGAAAGGGTCGGAATGTATTACTGAGTAACGTGCTAGGAGCTTTAAGCATTATTCCAATCTTTAAAAAAATTCCTACTTCACAGATAAGAGAATTTGAATTCATGTCCATCTGAAATTCAAAGCCCAACTCATTATGTATGCAAAAGCTATAAAATCTCAAACCTGTCAAAGGCAGTCCTGCTATATCCCCCAATCCTATATAACTTGTAATCTTGTGCCTTTCCTGGCACCATTTCCTATTCCGAAGTGATTTATGTTCAAATCCGATTTCTCTGTATTAGATATCCAAAAAGTCCTTGACTATTTGTTACTCTTGAGCAGGAAGAATAACCGTTAGTAGCCAAATTATATGAGCAGGCACTTCCCTGGGACGTCCCTTTCATAGTGAGTCAAACAAAACGTAAAACCAAACTCTAGGGTATAAGGGATATTAAGGCAATTGGTTCAGACAACCACAGTCTTAAACACTTAAGACTATATCACCTGGATAGCATCTAGCATGCATCTGTGATCAACTTTTATTAAATATATATTACCTGAAAGTGTTCCTTAACAGTGATGTCATCTTCAAAAATGTTTTGGGTTCACAGAAACAATACTAAGAGAATTCTAAACAGTAACACAGAAACATTTTATTTCAGCTAGTTCTGAAGAAAATTCACGTATTCTTTCAGTGCTTAATAATTCACACAGAAAGCTTCTGTTGACTGTCCTATCAGTGCCCACCTAGATGCTTCTAAATAGTGGGGGAGTCAAAAGTTATACGTGGATTTTTGACTGCAGAGGTGAGGAGGGGGTAAATGCCTCCCGTGTTGTCCAAGTGCCAAGTGTTATTATTCAGGCATTTTAGCTACAAACTCTATTTACAAACTGCAACTTTACTCAAAATGCATGCAATTGAGTTCCTGATTCTATATGCCAGTACCAAATATATGAAGATGCATGTCTTCAGCACATCAAATATAAAAATACGCTGAACAGCAGGATGTGTTCTGAGAAATGAATCATTAGACAATTTCATCACTGTGCGAACTTTATAGAGTATATTTACACAAAACTAGATGGTATAGCCTACTACACACCTAGACTATATAGTATAGCTTACTGCTCCTAGGCTACAAACCCCGGCATGTTACTGTATGAAACATGAGATTAAAGCACAAGAGGAAATGATGTAATCAAGAGACTTGGTTAAGGGCAAGATGCTGGCATAACATGACATACTGTTTTAAAGCAAACCTTTTAAGAACTAGGAAGAGTACACCCTAAAAGTATAGTATCGTAAATACACAATAATAGTCCTTATCATTATCAAATATTAATGTACTGTATATAACTGTAAATGCTGCTACAATTTTACACAACTAGCAGCACAGCAGGCTTGTTTACACCAGCCTCACCACAAACACGAGAGTAACAAACTGAGCTATAATGTTATGATGGCTATGATGTTACTAGGCAATAGTAATTTTCCAGCTCTATTATCTTAGTGGACTTTTGCATATTCTGTTGGTCCAAGCTGTTGACCAACAAACACATCGTTATGCAGAGCATGACTATACTGTTGGATTACTCAAAGAGTAGAGAGTACATCAAATGGCTCAACCTTTAGCCAGGAATCATACTAAAATGTACAGTGAGTACCTTGATAGATTACTTTTGCTTAAAAGCATAAAAACAGGTCATAAAAATAAGAACTCAAATGGACTTTGGAGATGGAGTTCAACCTCTTCTTTCTAAAAAGAAAACTAAAAGTTAAGTATTAAGGAAGGTCAAAGCCACAGTGTACTCAAGTGAGGACAAGAATATAAGCCCTCAATTTGAGGTTAAACTATACGACCTTCCTATAAACGAGTAATAAAGATAATCTTAATAACGGTTTTTTAATCAAGCAAGAGTAGCAAAAACTCAGGTTGAGTGAAAATTTAAAAAACGAGTTACCCACACAGTAGACTGAAGATAAAGTTATAGAATCATTTACTTAGAACTACATTCCTACAAAAGGAGAGAAAAGAGATTAAATAATCTTGATCACTGCTTTTAAATCAAGAGCAAAGGTGTTCAATTCAAATAGCCATGGGCAACTTTAAGCAAATTAGACCAATCTCTTTTGCAAAGTGAGGATTAAAGAGTAACCTCACAAGGACATGGAGAATTAAGTGAGAAAAAAAGTGTAGGGTAATTGATATACTATAAGTTTCAAACAGTACTATAATAACCCAATTCTTTTGATGAATAAACTGGTAAAAACTTTTTTCCCCACAAATTAAAAGCTATTTAAAAATGGACACATACCTTTAAAACTTTGTATAGCCGAGGAAGTTTTTTCTCAATTTCGATAATGACTTCTTTCCCATCTTCTCCAGTAATACGACTTAAAAGCAGAAAGAACATAAATTTATGCAAACAGCAGACACAAGGAAGAAGTATCACTGCCTAAAACATCTGTATGATCTTTCTAAAGTTTTTATTAAAATTCTGGCAAACGAACTAACCTTGTGCTTAAAAGACACTTAAGGATATATAGGCTATACAACGCGACATATATCTGAAGCTTTTGTCCACAGTGTACACAAAAATGTGAAGAGCAAACAGAAACCTATCTTTATATGTGAAGAGCAAACAGAAACCTATCTTTAGTTACAAATTTACTAAATCTTTATTATTTTGTACCAGTTGTTATCCTTTCCTAGCAATTTCTCAATAACAAAGAAAACTCAATGGTTTGCAGGGGGAAAAGTATTGTGAAACATTAAAATAAAACTCGGGTTAATTATAAAAAAACCAATTCTGGGTTGCCACATTGTCCCACTACAAAACCACTCTTCCAGCATGCCCACTTCCAACCAAACTTTGTTTAATCCTCCGACTGCACGACACAGAAAAAAGGCTTCCTCATTCCCAACGTACCCCTCAGGCAATGCAACAGCAGCCAAGAGCGTCACTTAGCACGCACCCATTCTACCCACTGCACTCGCCCGCGACCCCGGCGTCCTTACAGCTGGCAGACTTCTAGAATACACAAACTCGTTTTTCGTGCCCCACCCGACCGTCTTTCTAAGGCCCCCCCAGAACGCCCCGTCCCCACTCCCAGAATGCCTCACCTGGTCAGAGCGAGGTACGCGTCGGTCTGCTCTCCATGGGAAGCGGAAGAGTCTTCCAAAGTCTCCAAAAGCGGCGCAAAAGAACTCTGACCCGGGGCCGTCATATCGGCCACCTTGAAGCACGGAACGGAACAGAAAATCCAGGAATCGATGGAAACAGCCCCGCGGCGGCCCAGCGTGATTCCCGGCCCCAGACCCGCGCGCCCGCCCGCGGCCTCTCGGCCCCACGGATCACGTCCACACGCCCGGCCCCTGGCGCACTACCCACGGCCCTAACCTCCTCCTATGTCCCGAAACACGCATCCAGGCCCACGCTGTGCTCTGGCCCAGGCCCTCTCCCGCCACCACTTTCCCGGGCAGCTTTCAACAGGGGGAGGAGACCGGCGTGGGGCGGGAGAAGCTCGGAGAACTAGGTATCTCGCCGGGAGGGGGCGGAGGTGGCGCCAGACGGGGGGTTCCCCGCGGCCTAGCTCTGTGACCCCGATATTTACCCCCTCGAATGAAGATCAGAACTGCGTCCTCTTCGCCTCTGCTCCGCAGCACCCAAACGCAGCCAGAGCTCGACTCTGCCGGCTCTGACTGTTTACTCTAGCGTGCAGCCCGCTCCCTCCCAGACCAAGATGGCGGCGGGGGCGGGCCCAGCAGCGCGCGGGAGGAGGCAGGCCTGGCGGGAGAAGCTCGAGCAGACCCAGCAGGCAGCGGCGCGCCGAAGTCATCGATCGCTGCCCTCCCCCGCATCAGCCCCGCCCCGCCACTAAGGGGACACCTTGCAGACGGAGGTGTTTCGGCCTGAATTTAACCAGTGAGGGACTTGAAATTCAAAAGTGTGAGTGAGTTGCCCAGGTTCACGAGACTACATCTAGTGGGCCGCCGGACTGTTTTCACACTCCAAACACAGTATTTGCTGCAGTACTCGCAACGAATAATTTCGCAAGAGGGGGACAAGTATACTGTAATGTTTAAGACTGAGAGCCGCCTCTAGATTGGTCTAGATTCCAGCGCTAGTTCTGTGTGACCTTAGCAAGTTTTCTATTCGTCAATTTCCTCTGTAAAATAAGGGTGATAATAGTACCTATTCCAGTTAGAAGCGAAGTAAAAGGAGAGACCAATGGTTCTCAAGTTTTAAGTGTACATAACAATGGTCTGGGGATGTTCATGATTAAACTGTAGATTTCTGGGCCCCGCCTTAGACATTGTGATTCAGTAGATTTAGGTAGCTCCCGAGGATCTACATTCTGTTAGGCCCCAGGTGTCAAAGGGTGGGACTTCATATCATACTTGGAGAAACTGCAGTAAATCCTTAATGAAAGTCAGCTCTTAGTAATAATATGCTGCTTCCCATTTCATAGGCCTCAGCGCTCTCTGCAGCACATGGGGTTGTGGCCACTCTAGAACAGGCAGCTTAAGGCTCAGCTCCAACTGGTCCTTCCACTCTGGCCCCAGGTTCCAGGCTTGAGCCTCTGCTTACCTACACACAGTACAATTATCAGCTTCAGAGTTCAGGGCTGTGTTTTGCTCTTTGCTGTCTTATCTGCACCTAGCAAAATGTCTGCCAAACCAAGCACTCCATACATGACCTGAGGAAGCCTGCACATGGTCACTTAATTTCCAGGCTTACCCCCACTAAAGCCAGATTCTGAACTGTCAGTCAGGATCTCTAACTTTTCTATGTCTTCGAAAGTCTATTGTATTCCTCGAGTTTAGAATGATTCAATTTTTCAAGTTTGATAGAAAAGAGTCAGCTAAAATTGTACCTTTTAATGAAATCCTTCCCTCTACTCTAGCCTCATGAAGAATTAAATGCTTTCGCATCCGTGCTGACATAGCTCTTTGTATTTAAATCTGTTAAAAAGAACATCTCATTGATTTATTATTGTTTGGTTATATACCCCTGCAGTGGCAAAGTTGAAGGTTAGCTTGAGGGGAATTAGTTCCATCCACAATCTCAATCAGTGCCACTCCCTGTTCTTTGGTATTTTCTCAATCTGATCTAAAGTGCTAAAAGATAACAGTCTAGACAAATCCCCTTCCCAACCCACACCCTTCTCCACACCCTTCCAACCTGATTATTCCTCCCAAAGTTATCTTTTTTTGAAATTCGGGAGCCACCACCACATATCTGCTCCCGCTGAGCAATAACTTCACAGTACCTGGCACTCAATAAATACATTTAGAACCTGACAAACGATAATTTTGAAGAAGGGGCTGGTTGGGACTCCAGTAGTAGAGGGCTTACAGCATCCCCAGCTTTACTTTCCTTTTCCTAACAGTAGATTATCCCCCAGAATTTGGAACCTTCCCTGCCATAGAAAGTGCCCTGAAACTTATGATTAATGCCATTATACTTACTGATCACAGTCCTCTTGATCTAGCATTCTTTCCATACTCCCATCTTTGTTCTTGGGTTGCCAATGCCAACGGAGGACCACATTCCCGGAGGGACAGTTCTGTGAAGCACGACAGACGCCCGCACTCCCCACCCCAACCATCACATAGCCCCTGAGATAATGTCCAGATTTTTCCTTAAATACCCTAAACCTAACTGAAAAGGCAAGGCAGTTTTTGAAGGTGTTAATCTGCTGTCTTCTCAGATCACCGGTGTTCTGACAATAAACATGCTCTGACAGTAAACGCTTATTCTAAATATCCCAACTCCGGTGTGGATCTATTGGCTGAGTGGCACAGGCAACATGAGCCCCAGATTTGGTTGCCCTCTAGTTACAGTTGCTTAAAGACTAATTGCAATTCGGAATCTGAAATTATATTAATGAACTTTTCATACTCTGTTGTATTAAAATACATTGGTCTATCCTGATTTCAAATGGATCTTTTACCAGTTTATGATTTTGTATCAATATGCATTGGTCATTTGAAAAATATTGTCATTGAGTTATGTGGATTTTCCAAATGTTGACACATTTCATTATACATTATCAAACACCATGTTTGTTAATATCACTACCAATCTCATCAGAAAGGTCTTTCTATTGGTATATACTTTCTATTTCAATAGAAATACTTATTGTCCTGGACTATAGATCTAATGTAATTAAGCCTTTCTTTTAAGGGTAGACAAGACAAAGATTCAAAACTGTAACATAAAAAAAATACGAAGTACACTTAGGAAACTTTGAAACAATAGTCTGGGTTACATTTAGTATATGAAGTAAAAGAAGCCTTGTCTTCTCTTTTTATAAATGGGCTCAAACTTAACTTAAGGGATTTAATAAAAAATTAATTAATTAAAAATGTGAAATTGCCAGTTTAGAAAATATCTAATATGTACGTTAACATTTCCAGATAGCTTTAAAAAGTAAACAAGCTAGAAATCAGTGTACCTTATGGTTCTATGGATGAGATACCCCAGTGTCTTTGTTCTCTAAGATGTGGGAATCTATATATAAGGATATTTGTAAATACGGCAAGAAGAAGGGCCATTGAAGAAACTGTGTACCATACCATATAAAAAACAGGACAGCTATCCAAAAATCTATCCTGTGATACGACGTAGACAAGAGCCCCCCTTAAATTGCCAGTTCTTTTTTTATTTCCCAAGGGGAACAAAACAGCTTTCCTGTTTATATAGGTATCACTTATCTACCATTAGTTCCACCTCTATATCAGACTAAAAAATTAAGTTTTCTGAAAAGCAAGAGGAAAGGCAATTGACTTTTCATGAGAAACAAAGCAAAACAAAAATTTTGATATTAAAGTAAAAATAGACAGTGTCAGATTGTTTGAAAAAAAGACAAGACAAATTTGAGTATATACAGTAAATTGTGACAGGCTTGAGTAGACATAAACTTTATTTACTTTGGTTTAATAGAACCACTCAAGTAGTTAAAATCTCTAACAACTTAATGTCTCAACTGTAACTGATATTTTGAGATCATTATCAGAGGAATATTCTTTAATTTCTGCATAATAGCTGCGGTGTATTTTTGTCTAAAAGTAGATCTTATGTATTACATTTGTGGATGTTCAGGTTAGAGATTTCCAGGAGATCTCCTGTAACCTTGTGCAGAAAACAATCAACAAAGAAGACTTGAACCGCTATCTTTGGAAGGAATTGTTGTAAGGTTTGGCCCTGGACTGGCACCTGGGAACTTAGATTTCGGGGGCTTCCAACCCAACATAACTGACAATATGGTTACAAACAATATGGTTTTTGCTGAACACTTGATTTTCCTTTCAGGAGTCTAGAATTTGGGTAGGAGGTGCTGTGTGATTACTCCTCAATGGAAACCCTGGGCATGAAGTCTTGAGCTTCCGTGATTGGCAACATTTCACATATGTCACAACTCAGAGCTAAGGGAATTAAACATGTCCTCTGTCACCCTTCTGGGAGAGGACACTTGCAGGCTTGTGTCTAATTTCCCCCAGACTATACCCAGGTGTTTTTGTCTTTGCTGATTTTGCTCTGTATTGTCTATACTCCTGAACCATGAATATAACTAAATGCTGAGTCTCTGTGAGTCCTTCTAGTGAATCATTCTACCCGGAGATGGTCTTGGGGATCTCTAACCCAAACATCAACAAATATAATAAGTAAGATCTTCTTTTAGACAAAATATACTGCAGCTCTTATACATGGTCAGATTATACTTCATCTAGATATTAGAATGCATACACAATGTATGATTTAATAAACTACTCCCCACCAAATAGCTATGGTTCCAGAATTCTTATGGATTAAAGACTCCACAGATGTAGGCAGATTAACTTGGAGCAGAGCCCATAGATAACAGATTGATTTTTTTCCTTAATTATATAAATCTTTCTTTTTGTTCAAACATGAAAATGTTAGGCCATGCTCTAGAAATTTCAATTCATTAAAAAATATATCTACAAAACCTATCTCTTAAATAAGAAGCAAAATAAATAAGCCTCCTTGTTTCAGATCAATTACAGGCCTCAACTAATAAATCAAAATAGCCTCAGATCTCATAATATGTTTTTCAATCTAATGTTGGCACATATATTAAATCACTACTACTAACAGACACCACTCAATATTATTTATTTATCTATTTATTACTAATTATGAGTTATCATCACTTTTTTTCTCATAAAATGAAATATTGGTGAAGCACTCTTAATCCAAAAACTCCATAAACCTATGAAGGAGAATCTTTTACTTGAGTTCCTGTAATTCAAGAAGATGTCCATGATCAGAAAAGAACTTTTGACATTTACAGTACCAAATTTTAGGTCTACATTTTTTGTTAATAGGTTTCATATTTAAAATATTAAAAATTCAGTCTTGATATTTAAAAAAAATAGTTCTGTCTCTTATAAAATCCAATTTCTTATCAAAAGCCAAATTGTTCAAATGACTGAACCATGATCCTTTCTAGGGCATATTAAATTGTTAGTATAAAAAAAGTACATATATCGAGTATGATTGGTAAGCTTATAGAATAGTTCACTTTTTAAAAGAATATACAGACATGGAAATTTTAAGGCATCCTTTAAAATAGAATAACAAATATATCAATTACCTGATATCTTCCTGCTAAAATAATTGTTATCATAAAACTACAGACTCACAGTAGAAGAGGTATTATAGGAGTTAATATACTATACTGTAATCACTATAAAAGTATTTTACATATACTATAGAAATACATTAATGAATTATCATGCTAACC